CATCATTCTTAATCAGGCAGTTAAAAATAAACCAATTACTGACTCTTGTTAACATTATTCATTCAGACGCGCGTTTGGAATCGAGTATACTCGAGGAACAGGGAACTGGTTGTTCAAGTAGCTATGTTATTGGGAGTGACTGAGCACAATACTTAAACTGGTTTGGTACCAGCAACAACACTCCTTCACTAAATGGTAATGATTATTGAACTGCTGGTGCATAGCTTAGCCTTATTCTACCTCATATGAACGGTATTTGTCAAGAAATGTATGGCTATTTCCCTCATTAATTTTTTGATTGGGTGTATGATTTTCTCACCAACTGTGTCTACATTCACATCCCCTTCAGGCTGCAACAAGCACTCAAGCACGAAATCAATAGAATATCTGTCTCCACTAATATGATTTCATTATTTACTGTCCGTCTCCTATCAAACAGTCAGGTCATGTAAATCTGCATTGACATGGTTTCTATTTGTAGACAAGAAAAGTATAAAGTAGTGCACACCAAAGTCAATGTGAGTAAATCTTCTGAACGCTCATATACCCGTAGTTAGTAGGTTCAAGATTTCAAGAATAGGGCTGAGTAGGGTAATAAATTAGTGTCATTCAGTAGCCAGACGTCTTTTAGGGTGAATCGTAAGCGAAAAATAATATGTCGTGGACGATTATAGAGATATTCAGTCAGATGAAATGACCTACTTGCAGAAATTCTAGAAATTGATGATGCATGGTTCGGCACATGGCCTATTCTTGTTTTCATGTGCCTACTCCTGTTTTAATAGGCTGTGAATCCCGTGATTGACCCAACATTTTCAGTACATTATGACTTCTTCCGTAAAGTCTATCTAAATGCGAAACATAGGTTGAGCACTGTGGTAGCGGGTAGTTTTACTCCGAAAACTTGACCAAAACCAGAATATATTCAAATTCCATGCAATGATTATGAGGTTAGACAATTACGTAGGTCAACGTAGTTGACTAGAGTCAATTAGAATAACAAAGTACGAAACTTGACAAAATCTAGAATGGTAGACGTTACCAAGGTTATAAGTGTAGATAAACGCTCAGCCATTGCGTTGCATACTGTCATATAGAAAAAACACGTGATGGGGTGAGACAGAGTGACAGTTCATAAAACTAACTTAGTGGGGAACAGAGAGATGGATAACCGAAGCTTTGTTTATCGAATTAACATGGAACACATGCAAGAGGAAAGATTCGCCACCTATTCCAGGTGTTCTGAATCTCTTACTGCCCACATGACAAATGAAGGGGAAGAAAAGGAACTAAGAGGCATGGTGTAAATAATCTGGAATAGGTTACCTCAGACATGAATATGAACAATGAATTCTGTTATTGATGTCGTCGAATGGATGGTATTATTTTAGTGTGCGCAATACGCATGGAAACTTCGCCTGGTTAACTAATTCACTAGTTACTAGCCGGTCCTAAGCCTGGGTAAAGAGGGAAGGTTTGGCATAGGGCTAGCAACCCTTCCCCGTAAAACAAATCTAACCGCTAAACAAACTTCAAAGCACAAACAAAATATAAAAAATGAAAACAAACTTATTCCCCGCTGGAATCGGAGAGGCGAAATGACGCCAGTTGGTGAAAGCCTGACTTCGGGAAGCCAATTGGCCGATGTGTCTTCTCTCGATGAAAGCGAAAGTGAACGTGGGGACATGGAATGTCCGCACCATGTTTGAACCCAGTAAGGCAGCCCAGATTGCAAAGGAGATGAGAAGGTATCACATCGAAGTGCTTGGGATTTGCGAAAGCAGATGGAATGGGAGTGGACTCTCCAAACTGTCAACTGGAGAATCAATAATCTACTCCGATATTGTCACCCAGACGACAACCACAAGCACACTGAGGGAGTGGCTATCATGATGTCCCCAACAGCATCGAAGGCTCTCATGCAGTGGGAACCAATCTCCTCCAGGATCATGACAGCAAGATTCAACTCAAAAAGAAGGAAGGTCACAATCATGCAATGTTATGCACCTACAAATAATGCAGAGCGAGAGGAAAAGGAGGAATTCTACAGACAACTTCAATCAACACTGGACAAGACGTCAGTTGGCGATATCAAAATTCTAATGGGCGACATGAATGCCAAACTGGGAGGGGACAACACGGGAAGAGAACTAACCATGGGTCGAGAGGCGCTAGGTGAAATGAATGAGAATGGAGAATTGTTTGCAGAATTCTGCGCATTCAACAATTTGGTGATTGGAGGCAGTGTGTTCAGGCACAAAGATATCCACAAAGCGACATGGATTTCACCAGATGGACACTAAAAATCAAATCGACTTTATCTCAATCTCGAGAAAATGGAGATGCAGTCTACTTAACACAAGGTCAAGAAGAGGAGCAGATGTAGGTTCAGACCACTATCTAGTGCAAGGAACCTTCCAAATCAAGTTAAAAGCCTTCAAGGAAGCTGGTGATAGACCTCAATTCAAGTACAACACTCGGAAACTGAAGGATGAAACTACAAAGGAGATCTTCAAGGCAGCCATCAAGACAAAATGGGAGACATCGAGGAACATCCCTGAAGAAACCTGTGTGGAAGAACACTGGAAGTCTTTGAAAGCTATGTGGAAAGAAACCTGCACAACAGTATTAGGAAGGAAGAAGAAAGAAGACAAGGAATGGATCTCGACGGATACCTGGAAGCTGATAGAGGAGAGGAGGATGGTGAAGCAGAAGATAAACCAGTGCAAGGATGCTCAACGACAAGAGGAACTGAGCACAATGTATAAAGCACTGGACAAAGAAGTGAAGAAGAGTGCACGCAAAGACAAAAGACACTTCTACGAAACACTGGCAAGTGAAGCAGAACAGGCTGCAGGTAAGAGAGACCTGACGACATTGTATCAAATAACCAGGTTGCTATCAGGGAAGAGACCAACACAGATGAAACCAATGAAAGATGAAGAAGGAAATTTAATTACGAAAGAAGAGAAACAAAGGAAACGATGGGCCGACCACTTCAAGAAGCTCTTGAATCGACCACCACCTGCACTTCGTCCACAAATACCACCTGCAGCCGCTGAATTACAAGTGAACATTAATCCCCCAACGAAAATGGAAGTCCTGAACGCCATAAAGCTACTGAAATGCGGGAAAGCAGCAGGACCAGATGGAATACCGCCAGAAGCACTGAGAACAGATACGGAGACAACAGCAGACATGCTCACACCACTATTGCAGAAGGTGTGGAAGGAAGAGAAGGTACCTGACGATTGGAAGAAGGGTTACCTTGTCAAACTGCCGAAGAAAGGAGACCTCAGTGCTTGCAAGAACTGGCGCGGAATCACTCTCCTGTCCACCCCAAGTAAAATATTAAGCCGCATCATCCTGGAGAGGCTTAAAGATGCACTGGATTCAAAACTGCGACCGGAACAGGCAGGCTTCAGGAAGTACAAATCATGTGCAGACTAGATTGCAACGCTTCGCATCATCATAGAACAGAGCATAGAATGGCAATCAGCTCTCTACCTCAACTTCATCGACTTTGAGAAGGCCTTTGACAGCGTCGACCGAGAAGTAATTTAGAAACTGCTTCAATACTACGGAGTACCGCAAACCATTATCCGCCTCATTCAACAACTATATGAAGATGTCACATGCCAAGTAATTCACAATGGGAAGCTCAGTGAGGCTTTTGAAGTGAAGACAGGAGTGAAACAAGGTTGCCTACTATCCCCCATGATATTCCTTATTGTAGTGGACTGGATCATGCAGCAAACAGTAGGCAGCGAGAAGAGGGGGATACGCTGGACGACGGAAAAGAACCTAGAAGACTTGGATTTCGCCGATGATTTGTGCCTAATGTCACATAAACTTGAAGATCTGCAGGCAAAAACTAACAAGTTGATAGAAGAGGCAGCGAAGATGGGACTTCAAGTGAATATAGAGAAGACAGAGGTGATGAAGATACCGCACCACCACCATCAACAACAACAACAAACTCCAATCACCGTCAACGGGAGAAACTTAAAGGAAGTAACCTCCTTCACTTATCTAGGAAGCACTGTTTCAACTACAGGCGGGACGGACGAGGGTGTCAAAGTCAGAATCGGAAAAGCAAGACAGGCGTTCATTAGCCTGAAACCAGTGTGGAGATCTTCTGCACTCAGCATGTGGAACAAGATACGGATTTTCAACACCAACGTCAAGTCAGTGCTCTTGTATGGCTCAGAGACTTGGCGCGTCACGAAAGGTATTTCCAATAAACTACAGACATTAATCAACAACTGCTTACGCTCGCTGCTGATGATCAGATGGCCAGAAAAAATAAGCAACAAGGAACTGTAGGGATGCATGTTACAATTCCGTAACGATTGACCAACCCTACTTTATTTGATGTGCTCTAGTACCTGCTTAACCAGTACTTTACCTAACGTGTAAGTACTGGTAACAAAACACAAATCAAAAGAACTGATACGCAATGTATTTAAAGGAGCTATGTATTTAAGGTAAATGTTATAATAATGAATGAGGGAAAAGTTTAATCAACTTATCTGGCTTGTAAGGCTGAACTAGGGACTCGGAGTACGTGCGTGGTGATCAGCACAATGGAGCGCAAAAATGGCGTCCAAGCCTGCTCGGATGCATGCTCGTTAAAACAAAACTTAAAACACCCTAAGCATCCGGAGGCAAGCTAGAGATTTATTTAGTTAATTTAATTTAAACTATTTATTTTAGCCCTAGTTATATTTTGGTGCCAGGAAGGTGCACTACAGGTTATCCCCCTCCTAGAAGGTTGTTGGGATACCGGCAACCTTCGATCCTAGGAGGCGACTGCGAGGCGGACACGCAACACCTTTCCATATTGGTGATGGAGTAGGTGACGTGTGGGTCTCCGAAGCTAGTGCAACTATGCACACCTACGAGGTAAGATAACTTTTCGTCTAGACGCAACCCTTCTCGCAGTGGTGGAAGGTGACCCAAAGCCTCCGTCTACTTTTCCCTATTGCTTCTTAACCTACCAGGGAGTGTACAGGGGGAAATTGGTACAAAGAGAACCGAAGAACGATCCAAGTAGCATCGTCAGCGGCCAATTGTATCCAATTTTCAACGCATTTTCTAGGTTCTGCAAGAAGAAAGAAGTGGGACATTAGAGTGCTAAGAAAAGGAAAACCAAACAATTCGAGGTGGGAGGAGTACAGAAAAAAAAATAATAACCAACCAAAACAAAGTTTTCAGAATTTAAATTGTATTTTTGATTTTTCTTTTTTTTTTTTTGAAAAAAAAAACTGTTTGCAAAGTAGTAAACATGACTTTTGAAAACTTTAGGTATGAAAACGCATTGAAAGTGTATGCCACTACCAAGTACTTGAAACTCCGAATTCACCAAGTGTGAAGTTGCTCTGGGGCTAATTAACGAACTCAGCGTATAGATTCTAGTTCTTCGGTCATCATTTGAGTTGAAGTTCTTGCCGTTCTCATATCTAATTTAGTTTTTCATTGACTCTCCCAATCAAGTATTCAGATTTCATTTATTTATTACCTTGTAAAATATGTTTCAAAAACTATAAATGTTTGCAACTTAAAGTAGCACAGCTGGTTCAAGTGACAGAACAAGATTGTATTACAGATGTAAACCCCAGAGAATATTCAGGAGCAAGTTTATGAACACTTTAATATTGATAAACATTGTTTGATAGGCAAACTGTTTTTTGGCCGAAATAACCCAGTAATTAAATGTTGAATCCAACGTATCAGCACCACAATAAACGTTTATTCTATTTGAGACTGTTCTAAACAAAATGGATGTAGGATGAAAATTGAGTAAACAAAACAATACACAATTCTATTTAATCTTGAACTGCAACATTTACTGCTGCTTCCTTAAATAAACAAAGGGTACCAAAATGTGTTTATTGCTTTCTAAAATCAAAACAGTTTCTAGAGTCAAACTTTGAAATTAAAACGTGTTTGCTTTCTACTTTGGACGTCATGCTGGCAACTACAAAATAAACACTCCCTTTATTGGGCGTTAACATCGAAAGTGCATCAACAGAGAAAACGGTTGTAAGCGTGAAAGCTTTTTATTGTGTTTTATACATATTGCAGTATCTTTTGGAAAGGAAACAAACAAACAGAAAAGATAAAACGGAAAACTTTGGTGTATATATATAACTAGAGTTTGTAATACTGCGACTCTGAAGAGCATATCAATCTGAGTAACTGAAAAAATGAATCTTCATCGAAGTTTGATAATTGCAGCCAACTTTATCCTCCAAATATATTCAATTTATGTAGCAAGTAAGTAAATTTGCCATTTTACACATTATTTATGCTATACTCACTGGGCATTCAAAAGAGTCTATGCTGTTCGACCAACGAGAGGAAAACGGTAGGTAATCAAACATTTCTTGAACAAAGAACTTGGTTATGTTATTCACTTGATGAATAATTTAGCTGACTCAACCAGGGCTTAGTGGAGGCTCATGAGCACTAAAATAGTTTTCAAGTATAGTCATAGCTGAACTAAGTTCATGTTTCTATATTCGGTCACACCCTTATTTTGTAGGGTAAAATTTTATTTAAACACTGACTATATGAGGTATTTAATGTTAATATTTATTGGTGCCAGTTAACTGAAATACTGAATATGTATTATGAGATGCTGTTGAAAATTTCTGAGGTAATTCTTCTTTTACAAAATTCATAGATGCTGTGCCTGTTGAGTTTCAAGAGGGTGATCAGCCAGTAAGCATATGTTAATTTACTTTAAAATGATCGCTTAAGATTATATTGAAATTTCCATTAAAATTTTGTTATTTTATTCAAATAGCATGTTTTTATTTTAAGGATGTCGAGTACTGGTGGTGTGGCATGAAATATGGTAGTTCAGGAGATACATTTTCATAGGATTAATACAATAATCGCTTGTGGCTATTTAAAATGTATCCATGTGGGACTTTGTACTCAACAAACTCATTATCTCTGTTCACCAACGATGTGTGCATTTTCTTGCATGCTGTATAAAAGTATAGATAAAGCTTCGTCTTTTGTTAGGTTTTTTATGTTTGTATTCAGACACAGAAAATATCATGCAATGTAATTTATACGGGCTGGTAACTATGTTTCAATCTGTGAAGTTTCATTTCACTGCATTTCTACGGCTCCTATCTGTTGTTAAAATCATGGACAGATTTGTTACTCAAAATGAAGATGATGAGAGTTTGATGCACTCTGATCTTTGACAAATTGTCACGAGTGTTTCCTTAAAAAGCCTGGTGAAATCCACAGGACTTACTTTCGTGTAGATTTCTTTATGAAGTTAGTGCCTGGGGTTTCATCAAGTTTACTGATGGAACATACACCGAAATATATCAAAAATCACAAACTACCAAACTGTCATCAACTTAATTATTTCTCTGTGTGTTGTAGAGATACCACATTTCCAAAAATAATATGTTGTGTCTACAAGATAAATACCCCATTATGTCGAAAACAGTTTGCATGGTAGTGTAGAGGATAGTCTTCACTTGGAATTTGCATCTCCCAATGAATGCAAAGAAATCGGGTGCAGAACTTGAGGTGACCGGTGTGAGAATGATAACTCAAATTATGATTTTGAATAAAAAAAGTTACAAACTCTAGTTATATATATACACCAAAGTTTTCCGTTTTATCTTTTCTGTTTGTTTGTTTCCTTTCCAAAAGATACTGCAATATGTATAAAACACAATAAAAAGCTTTCACGCTTACAACCGTTTTCTCTGTTGATGCACTTTCGATGTTAACGCCCAATAAAGGGAGTGTTTATTTTGTAGTTGCCAGCATGACGTCCAAAGTAGAAAGCAAACACGTTTTAATTTCAAAGTTTGACTCTAGAAACTGTTTTGATTTTAGAAAGCAATAAACACATTTTGGTACCCTTTGTTTATTTAAGGAAGCAGCAGTAAATGTTGCAGTTCAAGATTAAATAGAATTGTGTATTGTTTTGTTTACTCAATTTTCATCCTACATCCATTTTGTTTAGAACAGTCTCAAATAGAATAAACGTTTATTGTGGTGCTGATACGTTGGATTCAACATTTAATTACTGGGTTATTTCGGCCAAAAAACAGTTTGCCTATCAAACAATGTTTATCAATATTAAAGTGTTCATAAACTTGCTCCTGAATATTCTCTGGGGTTTACATCTGTAATACAATCTTGTTCTGTCACTTGAACCAGCTGTGCTACTTTAAGTTGCAAACATTTATAGTTTTTGAAACATATTTTACAAATTGATGATATTTACTGGGAGGACAATAAAAGGTTCAGGATAAGAAACAATCATTTCAGAAAGAACAACACAAGCAGGATAATCCATCTGAGTTATAAATATTCTCCACCGTTTCAACTTTTAATTAGTAGTTATTGTATGCGTAAGACAAACTTACCCATCCAAAAATATGAAATTCGATTTCCGGATATTGCTTTAAAACTTTAAAAGCATATTTCAGAGGATATATTCCAGTAATTTTCATATATTTTGTCGTAGAAATATCTAACTCTTAACTGGACTTAATATGAAAATTACTTTTTAGATATCTACGATGCCGCCTATTCTACCAGTGGAGTAAAAATGCCATGTTTGCGAGTGACATAAAACTAAAATTAATTCAATTCATCGGGTTAAATTATGAATTCCTTCCGTTTTGAAATTTATAAAGAAGCTCTGGAAAAAAACACCAATAAGCCACTTTTTTTATTCAATGGATGTTTTAAAATTTTCATTACGAAATGTTTCCTAATGCATATTCCCTAACTAACGCCCATGTAATCTTTGGTCATTAACTGGCAGGTTTTTCATTAACGTTGTGCAATCAAAGGTATAAAATAAAGTAATGAGTAAAAATTGCTTTCTCAAAGTTGTTTTAATTCATGCTATCATAATATTAGTTGAGGAACTGATCAGAACTAAGGAGAGTTGAAAGTTGTTGAATATTTCAGCTGTTACTTTCATCCAGAACAAACAGGAAAAGCAGTTGTCCCGAAATCCAAAGTTCTCAGTGATTCCATAGCTGACGACGGTCCGTGATCAAAATTATTTTAAACCAATAAATCTCTATCAGTCAGCAGTTGAATTGCCTATGTGTTGTTCCAAAAAACTTTCATTTTCCTAAGAAGCAACTGATCATTCTGCACAACGCATAAGGTAATCATATAACATTTTAACATCTAGGAATTTCGGTATTACTATCTGAATTTTCTGCGTTCATAAGATTTGTTCACATTGAATTTGATGCGCATATCAGGGTAAGTCTAGGGTTACATACTGATGTCAGTCTGTGGTGAATGTTACTTTGAAAAAATTCCGTATGATTCCTCAACGCTTCGATCTTGCTAGCGAGATTTTTTCCAAGATCATGAAGCTGATGTTAGGTTTTCAGGTTCCATATAGAAGACGACCTATATGATCACTCAATTAGATCGTGACACAGAACGCAGATCAAAATAATGTTAGTGGGTGAATTATCATATCAGTGAGAGAATTATATTTTAGTCGTGCAGGTAACGTAGAACAAAAATAGGGTGGGGAAATCTAGTCTGACTATGAAAAGTACAATAAAGTCGTGAGCCATCAAGGAGAGTAAGACTAAACTACTATTTTGGAAAGATGAACATTTGAAAATGAATTTATAATTAGTAATAGTGATAATAATCATGACAAAAATAATTATTATAAAAACAATAACATTAGTAATAACGGTGAGGGTACTTATAATTATGATAACAGTTCAAGTATGAATGATATCAAAGTCGATTATGCAATCTATAGAATGGCTCATAGAGTGTATATAACTCAGAAGGGAATGTAAAACTGATGAAGATAGCAGATCAAAAAAGTACTGTGTAATGGGATTAGATAAGTTGGTAAAATAAAACCAATGTTTTTTGAAGCGATTAAGACGATCGTATGAAGTAACAGTGGAAACTATTCAAAGATCACTAGGTTCGGAATAAATCATATGGAACAGTGTGAAATGAGGTTGTTTTACCTTCTCTTTATATATTATTTGGAACTGTATATGCAACACATTAGTGTTTGCCGTATTTATGGAATATTTAATCCATATTCTCTGTTGACCCTAGGAGGGTAGGAACAGATATGCAAAAGCTTCTGTAATGGTCCGCTCTTTGTGAGAAAAAAGAATATTTTTCAAGACTTCGGCCATCCAGAACGCTATTTTATGGCATGAATAAAAGGCATGAGCTTCGATGGCAGAACTTTTCTCAAGTGTTTTAAGTTCATAGGAATATTTCGGTTGCTGCTTGCAACTTCGACCGTGTTTGGTTAGATGTGTTCGTACTTGATGTGTTGTCTCACAAATGTATATGACATTGCAAGAATATTTTCTTCTTACGAACCGTGGACATTATGACCTTAACATTAGCAACATTGATATGTTGCGTCGAATGTTTGCCGGATAGCCATTGCGGAAACTGGACGATGTGGTATGCATCCGTGATTCGCATCTCTGCCATGCTAAACAAGTTCTTGTTTATCGTGGAACTTCTCCACGCATACACGTGGAGACATGTATACAGTTGATTATTTAACACTACCACTACATGAATGCGAGGAATCGAGAAGCTATGCGTTTTAACGAAATCGCATGGCAAATCAACAATGTAGAAAGCCTCACATCATGTAAACACGTTGAAATTGCTACTCAGATCTTCAAACAGAAGATTATGTTAATTTTAGTCATCTTTTTTCAACCTTATATGACAATAACTTAGTTTACAGGTAACTGAACGTGAGAAACAAAAATTTAATCACAAAGTGATAACTAACGCATGCACACGAAACTGTCACTGCGCACCAATTATGAGGTAAAAAACCAACCTTAAAAGTTTTTTTTTGGATGGAACAGAACTTTTCACCGCTTGTACACTTGAAAGCCTCTTAAGACTTTCAGACAGAGATATTTACTGAACAGTACTACAAAAAGACAAGTAACTGTGGTATGAGGTTCCACATGTTTTTCGTTCCTCGACACTTATCTCAAGCATAATTCAAGATAATTCAGTGCTTTGCCTCATCAAGGGAGGAACACAAACCTGTTATATGACCCATTCTGCAATATTTAGTAGACAGAGATCACACAACCTTATAGTATTCGTTCAGCACTATCTCATCGTACCACTACACCACTTTTAAAGAGAGGGCCTTACACCTACTGAATATTCCAGAAACCTTGGTAATAAGTAATTTCAAAGTAAGGATAGGTACGTGCTTAAACAATCCCCCTAAACGTCTTGAAATGTGATCACCTATCCATTTAACTTTATTATAACCTAGCAGAATACAATATTTTCTATTCGCTTGTATATTTTATTCTTAAACTGAAACCAATAGAAGTTCGGCACAAATGTAACTCATGAATAATTTCCTCTATCGCTACTTTAGTTCTAATTGTGAGTTCTTGTTTAGCATTGACTTCATTTCTAAATAACAACTCTATAACACATAAACTTGTTTCCAGTTGTTTTGAGAAGTGTAAACATTGACTTGAGTCCTCAATATGCTAAGAATCAGCAATTAGAAACTCATGATGATGGCTGAAAACCTGTAACAGTGACTAACCGTCTTTCTGGGCCTATAAATCGTCTAACTGATTCAGTATCAGTATAAGAATACAATTATCAGTCCTTAAATGTCTGTGTTGAATTTCATTGTATTGCGTTCGAAAACAGAAGAATAAGGTCGAGCTCCAACGAAATTTCCTTTTTTATAAAGGTATCATAATCACACACGCAAAAATAAAAAATGGATACATTTCGCTTTTAAAGTAGAAAATCAAATACACATACACAAATAACTGGATGAAAAAGTGGATAGTACTACTACTTTCATTTTTATATCGTTGTATTGGACAATAAACACGAGGTTTCAGCATTTCAGTAAGAAAATAAATCTTTTGGTGTTATTTATTTTGAAAAATGTTTTCCTGAACATAAAAAACAAGCTGAAACTTGAAATGTTCGAAAGAATAATAACCATAATTCTAATGAAAGACGAAATTAATATTTGAGGTAATTATTACTTTCAATGTCAGACAGATGCACAATACTGAACGCAGATACACATTTACCGTAAATGCCTTAAACTATTGGTAATATACACCACAGGAATTGGTAAGAAACGTACGAGAAAATAGCACACTACAGCTGTTTGAAATAAAATCACAGTAAGTAGCTGAGGGTAGTAACAATAAGACTCAAAATCCTAATACCTGTAGGTTTGATCTTCGGCAACGTCGTTCTGTCAGTGCTTGCATTATCTTCATAGCATTCAGTTGATACATCTGTTGCATAGGTCCCTTGAACTGATGATTGAAATTTTGTAAAAGAACATGAATAATCTGGTTGCCCATTAATTGTATTGAGAGTACCACAGTGAGGTGGCCAGAGATTGATTAATTTCTCAGTGTTGAAAGGAAGTTTTGTTTCATTGAGGTAATGAAATACAACATGAAAGTCTTTGAATGACAGGCTTGGTCGGTGAAGTTCTACTATTAAACAGCTAGCCAAAGGGGGTTTTAACCTGTAAAATATGACAAGACACGCAGATAATACTTTTCATTTCATGAGAATCTAAGTATTCGATCAACCTATATTTAAAAAGTCCTCATTATCAATACGGGACTTTCCATTAATGCACAACGGTCAAAGTTGCTACATCTCACTTTCCCATATCAAGCTGGAAAGCATAATGGTGAAATAACAAGAAAGTAAACAAGAGTATCAGAGAGCAAGCAAATAGCTATATGACAACCAATGTGAAGATAAAATATGGACGTGTCCACTACAATGAGATCCAGTCCAGGTCACATAACCTAGTCGCGAACCACCGACTTCGATTGTTATACAGTCTGGACCGGTAAATCTACATTTTCACGCAGGAGTTAAACCGACAGTCAAAGGTTTTATGAACTCATGTCACACGCTTTAGTCTGGATGACCTTAAGAATTTCACAACCTAAACCTAACTTTGCTAACATCGTAAATTAGGGTAGACTAGGCGCGTGTAATCCATTTCTGAGCCATTTGAGTAGACGAAGATTCACAACCTCATCAACCGGTTACCTTTTTAACCTTAAACTCTAAGCCAGGTGGTGGTTTCACGATGAATGGTTTATGCTACAAAAGCAACAGTGGTAAAACACCTAGAACCTTCTAGTGCCCTGCACCCTTAATGGACATGTTTCAGGAGAGGCTCGCAAATCACTACAACGACATCACTTAATTCCTTCAATCAATTTATTCAAGTCTGTAGATGACATAACTTAGTTTGATACAACGCAACTTTCTGAAGGGTCATAACAAATATCCTGATACAGTATGATACTTTATTGCTGTGCGCTATTCATCAAACAAACAAACACTTACATCAGAAGGAGCGTCAGTATTCCACCGATCCTCTCCACAGATGACTAATAGCAATGTAGTCTACCTGTGTCCATCGCTGAGTTGAGCTCGGTGGACGCCACCTCAGACAGTGTCTTTCTTTATGTCTGAAATTTGTGCTAGCTAAATATAGGCGGTTATCTGAGCACAGTCATTGTTGGCGATCACCGTTATCTGTACGTCCAGCCGGGACTCCGAAAGTGCCACCTAAGTGCCTTTCTGCCTTACTCAGTCTACCCACCTGTGCATTGAAGCCACTTGCAACAACCACTACGTCCAAACGTTTAGCTTTCGAACGGAGGCTAGACACTTTTCAGTAGAACTCGTCCTTCACTTCATCCGAACTACAGTCAGTGAGTGCGTAAGCAGAGACTACAAAGAGTTTATACTGTGCCGTTCAGCCTCATAGCGCAGAGGTGACTATCAACTGGGATCCAGTCTAGTACTGAGTTTTCTGCCCTAGTGCTTAGTGCTACGCTTACACCTGCAAGACCACGAGAGCTAGCCGTGGAATCTCCAGAAACTCGAAGGGTGAATTTCGCGGACTCACCAGATTGGCCGGGATAGGTCAGGTGAATAACCGCACTTGGGTCTTGTATGCGTGTCTCACAAACACAGCACACATCCATGCACCGAGTTGTCAGAGTCTTTGCCAACGAAGCCTGTTGACCAATTTGACAGAGGGTGTGGACATTGAAGGCTCTAATATGTAATTTGGAGCGTGGTTTAAGGAGACCAAGGATGCTGTTCTGTGGACTCAGATAGTTGCCGAAGGCTGCAGAACTAGGAGAAATTGGAGATGATGTAGTATTGTTAATTGAAAGACGTGAAGGAAGATTACAAGGTAATGATGGGAGAAGTGGATAGCAGTCTGAGGAAACTTGAGTGCTGACAGAGTTGTGAGGGCGGTTGACACTTTCCGGCTGTCTACACCATGGAAGGCTATTTCTTCCCAAGGTACCTGAAAGAGATTTGTGCGACCGCAGAGCCCGTCGGACATCTGCTTGAGGCCTGTCACACTCAGCCTTTTGTGTATGATTATTTAGAACTTGTATTTTTAGGGCCGGATGGTCAAAAGAAACAACAAACGAACCAACACCGAAGGTCCGGCAGACCGTAGTGTATGGCGGAGTATTTTATTTTTGGGGCCGACCTTCTATACCACCCCCTTTCACTGAGAAGGCAGCATTAGCATGGCAATGCTGGTCATCCAAGGGAAACACTTTACTGCTGTCATACCCCATTCAGTCAGCAGCAGTACGACTTCGCCCTCAGATCCCCACCATAGTGTAGTAATTTACACCACAACGGTAACTGCTTTTCGTCTAACCACTATCCAACAGACCTTTCTGGTATGGTAGGACGTCGACGGAACAAGTGTTCCACCAGGATAGCTCGTTGGATCATTGTGATATGCAAGCCTGACGACCACGTCAAGGTAGCAGCTTTCAGTCGTTTCTATATCCTTAGATGACCTCGGTCAGAGAAAACAAAATAGCATATTGAAAGTACGAAATGGGCCAATCAGCGTTTAGTACCCTAAACCGCGGTAAAAATAAGTAACAGCATGGCGCAAAAGGGGTGCGAAAATAAGGTTTAAATTTTACAATGACAATATACACATACTATAAGTTAGTTGCCCTAGAGATTAGGCATCCCTAACAGCAAGATCGGCAGGAGCTTATGTATGCACTCACCTTTGGTGGTGAGCCGTTGGAAGTATTTCCATAACTGTGTGAGCGCTGATGGAGGTGTGAGTAGTGAAATTTCCAACTCCATACCGAAAGCCAGAGTGCCATACGGCAATATCGGCCACCTTCGGCGCTGTTGCAACATTAGTCTGACCGTAAAAGGTCGGGTTTACGTTTCAGTGCGATCAGTTCTGCTCAACGCCTGTGAAATCTAGCCACTCCGAGCTGAGGATTTGCAACGACTGTGTGTTTAATCATCGTTGTCTTCGCAGGATTGCTAGTATCCAGTGGCAACACTATGTTAGTAATTCTGAGGTAAGACACCATGTGTATGGGCATTCATTCAATAAATCAAGTCATCTGTAAACACCGGTTTCCGTGGCTTGGACATGTGTTACGCAAGTCGTCCCAACGGCCTCCACACCGTTCATTGATTGCTAACCTTGAGAGTAGATGGAAGAAGCGGGAATGGTTAATGTGTGACATGGCGCCATGGGATGAAGCATAGTTGTATCGGGTTACCATCTGTTACCAATCCTGGAGCATCGCCTTTAATTTGACAGGTCCGAAATGCAAGTCGAATATACTCAGATTTCTGCACAATAACTACATTTAAATGCAAGCGTACAGCTTCAGAACATGATACCACTGAAAAAATTTGTTCACTGATGATATACAAATATTTCAAGACTTGTCCTGTTTAAAACAGGCGTGCCTCACGGTCTCGAATGTGAACTTATTTGTGACTATTGTACATTTCTGAATATATTGAAAAGAGCAACCGAAAGAATCTAAAATACAGAATTATTATTTTATAACACAGACATTGGAGATATAGGCGTTATTAGATGAATTATTAGGAATCATGGAAACAGGAAGTAGCTTATATTACTATTCCAGGTTTTACGAGACTTTATATTTTACTGTAGATCTAAGTAAGATAATGAGTCACCTCAGTTAACGTAAATAACGAAGTCACACGTGCTGATCAAAAATTTTAGGATAATGAGCTCTCAATGTAAATGTAGAAAATCTCATCAAATAAAATCTTGTGAATTTAAAACTCATAACACTGTCAGTAAAGAATAAATTCATGAGTATACATATATGAATTTGAACTAACCCATTATATACACCCAAGTGACTCAACAAAGCTGCCAGTGTAGAGTCATGTGCGAAATAAGCAACGAAACGACGACTACGCTTTTCCGAAGGATTTTCATGAGCATTATTATTATCATTCTGTTTTGCTTCCTTGTTGATACGCTCACGAAATAAGTCAACCAAATGACCAGCCAATGGCCCACCTCGTAATCTTGTCAACTGTGGTCTAGAGAATCGAATGAAATGCTTATAATCGAGAAGGCTGGTACATTTTTTATAGACATCGTCAGTTACCCATTGAGGAAGTGAAGAAAACGCATGATTTACCCATATTGTGATAGGATCACATATATGCCATGCTGGATAGAAGTTTTCCGGTGAATCTTTTTCTTTAGGAAAAGCATAACCTGTATAAATTAAAGAGGTTTATTAATGAAACGAGTAATATTCAAAACAGTGAGAGTACAGTCTCTATTCAATGTATGTTGTTTTCAGTAAGTAGAACTGGATGAGCCAATATTTAAGAATTCGTGACTCATACTCATTTAACCAAGGATTCATATCCTCTTCACTTGAAGCTGACTAACAGTGTTAAACATATCTCTTTTGCCTAATAATACGATTGAGAAACCTCTCAGATGTTTAACATAAGTTTCAAAATATAGGTACTATATTGTTGATGAAGCAAACAAATAATTAGTTATCAGGTCTACATGAAAAACACAACTGTTAACACCAAGTATGAACTTAGAAACTCAGAAAGTGAATACAAGAAGGTACGAATTTGATGATGGTTTCTCTACCTGATATGTAGGTTATCACCTCCCGTATATAAATTTCAAAGTAGAGAATATCTCGGTATTATAAATGTAAGACATGGGAGCACCGTGGTGGAATGTAACCCAATACTAGATTTGTTCATTTGATATAGTACACGACTGTACAGTGTTATTCACTTGATGGTGTTTCGAGCATAGTTATACCAAACTAATCATACTGCATTCGACATCAGGTGTTGTAAGGTGACTGGGAACTCGGGAGTGAAGTCACCTAGAATTGGGTTGGGCCAAGAAGTGATATACGTCCGTCGACACCTTTTGGTAAGATATTTTTCTATTCGGAAACAAGTTTATACACTACTTGTCAGTAATTTATTAACTCAGTAACTTCTTTTTCATAACTTCTTGTTTCAAATACCATAGCACTTTTTATAGTAATCTCTAATGATCTCCAGTGGCTTTTGGTTCAAGATAGAGTTACAAGACCATTCACGTTCTCAGTTAGGGTATATATGGTTCTATAATACATCATATTGGTTCTTGTTGACCTCAACAACAATCGGATTCTTTCTACAGAGAACTTGACATTTAAACAAAATGAGAGTAAAATACCTGTAGTTGTTTAAGTACATATATTCTTAGTAGTAGAACGATTCTCTTCCGCACTTTTAAGCACATTCGTAAAATCTGAAGCTGAGATGCGTACATACAGACAACAAGACTGCCCATCCTATGGTGGATACTGGATAGATCGTTCAAAGTGATGAACAAGTAAAGAATTTAACAAATTTATTGCGTTTATCCGAAGCCATTGTCATAAAAAAGCTTGAGAATAATCTACGTATTTAAAGGCATATAGTTTCCAGTCTTGGACTACCCTGGCAACTACAAATTACTAAAAATGTATTCAAACTTTTTCCGCGAAGTATCATAACTTTATTTTAACCTTCTTTTTCTCTCAGTTTGTTTAACCTACTCTCCCAGTTTTTCTAAATTTCCAATGAGCGTATCTGAGATAGACACAGTTTGAAAAAATAGTTAATATGGAGAGATGACAATTGAAAGTGAAAAATTCTGGGTTAAGGCAAATTGAAGCCCCTGGGTTTTCGAACCAACAAGTAGTCTATAATCATAATTCTTCATTTCTAATAAACTGGTGTCTGCTTTCAATGCTAAATTCTTCCTTTTGATAATATGCACATTTTCATTCCATAGACAGTTGCTTCTCCAAACAATTTCCCGTCGAAACTACTAAGATGGGGTGGAAATGAAAATAAAAATATTTATAAACCGGAGTGAAAAGCTTACCAGAAACTTGTTCCAGATACGAGAAGAAATCTTTGAAAGTACTCGCCTTCCGAGAAACTGCGGATGAGTTCATCAAGTGATGAAAAAAGCTTCTTAAACTTAGGACATTTGCTAGACATTTTTAACAAATGATCTTCATGCGTCAATCTGGAGAACACAGGAGGAAGTTGATTAGTGCTCTTCTTTTCTAGTTGATAAAATCCCCTGATAAAATTATTTGCAGACATGAGTGTTCTTTCAGTGCCAGAACTACGAAATAATACTTCATCCTATTATTTGGGATATATATATATATATACATACATATTTCAAATACCTTATGATAAATTTCAGGAAGAAAACCAGAATACATCTTGCGGATCAGCCGCCCAAGTTCATGATGCTGCTCTGCACCGTAGGCTGTCAGCTGACCATACCCCATTTTCCAGACATTTCGATAAGGATCAACTGGAAATGTGTGGACAGGAGACCTGTCACCATGTCGACAAAGAATAAACAACATAATCAAATCTTTTGTTGTGGGCGTTTTCCTGATAACTTCCATGGTCAAATATGGACATATCAATACAAATGTAATTAGTGGAAACAACATTGAGCATACATTCAAACTTATTAGATGGTTTGCTTTGTATCTCGAAAAAGACAGAAAATATAGATTCATATTGATTTGCGCTAATTTGTTCTAATTTGTTGAATACAGGAAGAAATGTTTGAAAATTCAGTTTTTAAAAACAGTAAATAGATGAAATAATTCCGGCCCCAGTAAAAATTATATTGCACATCCAACTAGTACCATCAGTGACCGAAATCGCAACAAGTAGACAATGGAACGGGAATGGCCAAAATAGATACTCTGTTACTTCACTAAACGATGATAATGATGCCAAAAGCCATCGCTTATTGGAAAGTGTTACTGCAAACAAACGACGCTGCAGTTCCAGTTACCAAAACAGTTTTCGAGTAGGAACGACTCACCTGAACCAAAAGTTTTGATGTAGAGTAAAATGATCTCTGCAAACTGACAACAGACGATAAATAAGAGCAAGAGCTGAATTTCTGCAAATTATAATCTATAGAACGAAATCAAAACACGAAGATAAAATACCAATATAAACCGGTTCATAACTGTCTAAAGACCTATATTTAAGAACTTGACGGATATAAGGCTAATCAAGTGAATTACGAAACCACTTTTCTCAATATTGGAGATAAAGCTAATTCTATGACATAATATATGGTCCGGTGAATGAATCTTCTAATTTACCACGATGCAAAACAGAACAGTGGCAATCAACAAGAAAAAGTAGTGAAAAGAATTATGGAACGGATATGAAAGAGTATTCGGAGGTAAATAATTTGAAAATCAACGTTAGTGAACATTTTCAAGCTCCAGAAGGCGTCAAAGAGTGAAAACATCTGAGCTATGGTGAAAGATCTGTAGCCATATCACCAACAGTATGCAATCATTGATTTCTATTACCTCAAAAACCTGATCGAGACAATTACACCTACCCTACACAGCCCAGAACAACAGTCAAACTTCATGGACTGGTGCCACTTTTCGATCTGGCCGTCCTGACCCTTTCTTCAATGTAATAAACAATCAGCTAACATTGCGCGTTGAGGTAATTGGTGGCTTGGCATGGACAATACATGCTCAAACCACTTCAGTTAGTGAAGGTTAACAACCTAATAAGCGCTAAGGAGCTGCCAAATACCACGAACTCCCCCTAGGTTCTCAACGCCAAAGATGTACACATCGAGTCAGAAAATAGAGATGGTAATATACGTACACTTTAGACAGACCTAAACAGCTTTTAACCTAGTTACAGAAATAGCTGGTGCCTATCACAGGTGAGCATATATAAGAGGCATACGAAGAACGACTTTAATGAATAAACGTCTTTATCGCATCAATTTATCGCATACAAAGGTGAGATCTAGTAATCCTATACACAAATTTGATAGATGACTTTAGACCTGATCTATATTCTGTTTTGCTTCCCATCAGGTCGGAACGCCTCACAACACATGGTCGGAGATTATAAAAGCAGAGAAACAACTCCATCTATGCGACGTACTGGTTTTTGCGTCCGGTAATCAACTCCTGAAACCGACTCCAGGAAGCGTCCATGTCACACACCAACTGGTTCAAAAGAAGACTGAAAAGACAGAAATCTACTGGAAAATGATTTTTATAGTCTCGCAGCCTTCCATCCTCAAAGTGAAAATCTGATTGGTTATCGGCTTATGTTAAGCTAGTAAGTGATCAGTCTCATTACACGTAACCAAGTTAGCTGTTAAAGTGCAGCGGTTGTTGGACGGACAGGATTCAAAGTTTGTCCCAACACCGTTTTCTTCTACGTTCTTCTACATGGCTCAGAAAGACTTGAGAGTAATAATTGTTAATTTTTCTTCTCATATTGTCGTTACCCTGAGTTTGAGGTAGGATTATACAGTTAGATAACGCCAAGGTTTTCGGATCCCTAAAGAAGAGAAACTACAGAGACTGATATCAACTAAGCACAGGAATCGAGCCGACAAACACTTTAGGCGCACTTTGAAATTTTCGGGCAAATGACGGCAGAAAAACTTTGGACTTACTGCTGACAATGCATCCTCGTTCCCGATACTGTCAAAAAGTCTTCCCAAAATTGCAGAAATTGTCTAAGTGCGCCTAAATTACCATAATTGTCAGCACTGCATCCAAAATCTGTCTGCAGTGCACCCAGTTTCGCAGATGAGGGATTATGACTGGCAATAAGTAGTGTACGTGAACAGAACTCGCATATGTGGATGGTTAGTAGTATTATACGGAATCTGCAACCACTTATTGACTTCCCGAAGGCTAATCTTGCTGAATATGATTTGTTGGAGACGTGCCCAAAAGTTCCAAACTGCGCCTAAAGTCAATTTCAGGAATTACTTAAATTGTCAAAGTGCACCCAAAGTGTTTACCGGCTGGGAAATAGTGTTTCGAATGAGGTATAAATATAAACTTGGTGGTAAATAGGTAAATTAACATAGTACAAGAAGTAAAAGTATTTGACAAAATATGATCGGATAGTTAGTCCAGAAGCCCCAGCTGCAGGGCGCTCCTTCAAACAGGTATATGCATGAGTGGCCCAACCGTTCATTCCGTGGACTGTTCCGAAGGGGCGGGAACATTGTCCTTCGTGAATAAACTACGAAACTCGAATCTTGCTACGACGTAAGAAAATGTGTTGGAGTCGTGCCACACACCTCAGTACTCCCAAGGTGATGAAGGATTACAGAAAAGCCTAAAATAAGCGTATCGTTGCTATCGGCTGGTCTCGAATATGCTTTTAAACACGTCTTGTCAAGGCTGCATTGCAACATCCAAAAAGGTTACTTTCTCATAAGAACTATAGAAATAAGATGTATCATGGCATACCCACCCTAATCAAAGGGGCAAGAACTAACTTCGGTTGAAAACGATAGGGAAAACGCAGGAGCAATGGCTCGATATTTTGCTGAAGTTATTACACACTTATTCAATAGTAGAAGCATTGACAATGATATCGATCGCAATGATGTATTTCGATGTAGAAAAATCAACAGGACCGGATGAGCTGCTCAGAAAGTTTGCACTCTATGTAGCCGGCCCATTGACTACTACATTTAGACTTTCTCTTAGTGAAGGCATATTCCCAAATGACTGGAAGGATGCCAGTCACACCTAGCTATAAAGCAGGTTCTAGGCAACACATCAAATTACAGACCGATAAGTGACTAGTACTGTAGTAAAAATGATTGAGTAGTCAAGAAAGCCATCACAGTTCACTTAGAGAGCAACACTTTATTGTGTCGTTTGAAGCATGGTTTTCGCAGTTTCTCTTGCTTGACGAACCTCCTTAAAGTCAGAGAAAGTTGGGTTAGTTCTAAAGAAGATAGGTTACCTGTAGATGTCATTTTCATAGACTTTAGTGAGGCGTTCGATAAGGCACCTCATTCCAGGTTGCTCAGGAAACTGTAAAGTTTCGGAACCACTGGCAGTCTGCTTACATGGATAAGACAGTTCCTCGTTGGTGGGAGACAAAGAGTAAGGATCAGTTCTCAACTCTCCTTTTGGAAGTCGGTAGAGAGTAGAGTGCCACAAAGGCAAAGTCCTGGGTCCCCTGCTATTTCTCCTATGCGTAAATGAGCTGCCAAATATCACGGAATCCCCTATGGTTCTCTACGTCGATGACTTAAAAATCTGGCGCGAAATTAAGAACGACGAGGATATATGTGCACTTAAGGCAGACCTAAACAGCTTGTTTACGTGGTCAGAGATGCGTATGTGTGAGCATGCACTCGAGGCACACATGACAACATCTACTATGTTGATGGGACTCATCTACCGTTAGTACCGACCCACAATGAACCAACAGTCTCACTGAGTTATGATTTCAAAAAAAAAATCGCACACTGTAGATAAGTAGCAGCTCGGAGTTTTAGCACACTGGCATTACGCAGAACATTTAGAAATATAAGTGGTGGTATGTTCATCTTATACACACCCTTAGTTAGGTCCAAATTAGATAAATATATACAGGCGGCTAATCCTTGTCTGAAAGGTGACGCAGACCTCCTAGAAAGAGTTCAGAGGGCAGCCACTCATATGATCCCTGTGATGACTGGCCTCATGTATGGAGTTCGAATTAAGGAGATGAACCTCTTCTTTTTGTCCTATAGAAGACAGAGGGGAGATCTGATCATGCCATACAGGATTTTAAGAAATGACATGGGACCTGATCTCTCTTTTCTTTCCATTCCAATTACGTCGTTACATCTCAGAGGACATAGTAGGAGGCTAGAAAAGCAAAAAACGAACGTAGTATGCGCAGAGTACTGGTTCTCGAGTAGATTAATCAATTCCTGGAACCCACTCCTGGAAGCGTCCATGTCACACACCAACTGGTTCAAAAGAAGACTGAAAAGACAGAAATCTACTGGAAAATGATTTTTATAGTCTCGCAGCCTTCCATCCTCAAGTGAAAATCTGATTGGTTATCGGCTTATGTTAAGCTAGTAAGTGATCAGTCTCATTACACGTAACCAAGTTAGCTGTTAAAGTGCAGCGGTTGTTGGACGGACAGGATTCAAAAGTTTGTCCCAACACCGTTTTCTTCTACGTTCTTCCACATGGCTCAGAAAGACTTGAGAGTAATAATTGTTAATTTTTCTTCTCATATTGTCGTTACCCTGAGTTTGAGGTAGGATTATACAGTTAGATAACGCCAAGGTTTTCGGATCCCTAAAGAAGAGAAACTACAGAGACTGATATCAACTAAGCACAGGAATCGAGCCGACAAACACTTTAGGCGCACTTTGAAATTTTCGGGCAAATGACGGCAGAAAAACTTTGGACTTACTGCTGACAATGCATCCTCGTTCCCGATACTGTCAAAAAGTCTTCCCAAAATTGCAGAAATTGTCTAAGTGCGCCTAAATTACCATAATTGTCAGCACTGCATCCAAAATCTGTCTGCAGTGCACCCAGTTTCGCAGATGAGGGATTATGACTGGCAATAAGTAGTGTACGTGAACAGAACTCGCATATGTGGATGGTTAGTAGTATTATACGGAATCTGCAACCACTTATTGACTTCCCGAAGGCTAATCTTGCTGAATATGATTTGTTGGAGACGTGCCCAAAAGTTCCAAACTGCGCCTAAAGTCAATTTCAGGAATTACTTAAATTGTCAAAGTGCACCCAAAGTGTTTACCGGCTGGGAAATAGTGTTTCGAATGAGGTATAAATATAAACTTGGTGGTAAATAGGTAAATTAACATAGTACAAGAAGTAAAAGTATTTGACAAAATATGATCGGATAGTTAGTCCAGAAGCCCCAGCTGCAGGGCGCTCCTTCAAACAGGTATATGCATGAGTGGCCCAACCGTTCATTCCGTGGACTGTTCCGAAGGGGCGGGAACATTGTCCTTCGTGAATAAACTACGAAACTCGAATCTTGCTACGACGTAAGAAAATGTGTTGGAGTCGTGCCACACACCTCAGTACTCCCAAGGTGATGAAGGATTACAGAAAAGCCTAAAATAAGCGTAT